AACAAAAAAAGATGAAATATCCTTTTCCCCCATTCTTTTTCTTTTTAACTGCCTTCCCCATTACCCAAGTTAGTACATGCTACAGGCCTACATTCTACCCAGTAGAATAATTCTCCCTGCTCTCCAAACGCCAGTGACCATAATAAAATATTTAGGAGTAGAATGAAAACCTTGTCTTGACTTTTTACAGCATTGGTTTCATACAATATATGTCACTTTGAAGCTGACTAATTTCACTCAACATAATGACCTCCAGGTGCCTCCATATTATACAGTGTTTTGCAGACTGTAATTCTTCAAGTTGGATAATATTCCATTATGTATTTTTACCAAAGTTTGTTCAATCATTCCTTTGCTGATGGGCATCTCCATTTTTTGCTATTGTGAATAGTTATTGCTGTTGTTCAGTGGCGTAGAGTCAGTTCTGACCCACAGTGACCCTGTATAGGTTTTCTGAGCAGAGGCTGATGGGTTTGTGCCAACCTTGCAGTTAAAACTGACCTTGCAGTCCAGCGCATTATCTTGTACCGCCACATCAGAATTCCTGCTGCAATGAAAACGTGGTTGTGTTAAGTGCTGTGGAGTTGATTTTGATTCATAGTGACACTGTATAGGATTTCCAAGGAGTGGCTGGTGAGTTTAAACCTCCGACTTTGCAGTTCAAATCAACCTGAGGTCCAGTGCTGATCCTATAGTACTACATTAATACTCTGCAATAAACATGGATATACACATATCTACTGATGTCACTTATTTCCTCAGGAAATATACAAAGTAGAGAGATTCCTGGGTCATATGATATTTCTATTTTCAGCCTTCTAAGGAAATGTCATGCCATTTGCTCAGCAGCTGTACCATGTTCAGTCCCACCAGCAGTGTAGGAGGGTACTATTCTCTCCATATTCTCTCCAGCATTAGTTGTTTTCTGTTTTGTTTTGTTTTTAACTTTGCTATTAATGCTGGGGTATAATGGTTTCGCATTGCTTTGATTTGCATCTCTCTAATGTCTAGTCATCAAGGATCTCGGGTAGCTTAGTGGTTGTGAGTCAGGGTGCTAACCTCAGCAGTTTGAAGCTACCAACCATTCTGTGGAAGAAAGATGAGGCTTTCTGATGCTGTAAAAATTCACAGCCTTGGAAACCCTATGCAGGGTTTCTATGAGTCGGAACCGACTCGATGGCACACCACCACTACCACCATCATCACCACCACCAGTGGCTAGTGATCACGAGCAGTTCTTCACATGCTCGTTGGCCACTTGAATGTCTGCTTTGGTAAATTGTCTATGCATGTCCTCTGCTCATTTTTAAATTGGTTTGTCATTTTCTTATTGAGGTGTTTAAGTGTTTTGTAAGTTTTAAAATCAGTAGCCCCTTGTCTCACATGTCATTGCCAACATTTTTATCTCAGTCTGTGGGTTCTCTTTTTACTCTTTTGATGAAATCTTTTGATGTACCTAAGTGTCTAATTTTTAGAAGGTCCTATCCTAGTCATCTCTTTTATCTTCTGCTGTTTGTGTGTTTTCAGTTGTGTGTGATAATATATGCATGCAATGTATCAGAGGCCCTAAGTTTGTCCCTATCTTTTCATTGTCCCTATCCATGTTCAGTTCGTTTTTTGTCTATGGTGTGAGATATGGTCACTATTTCATTCTTCTTCAAATGGATTTTGTTTTGCCAGCATAATTTGTTGAAGAGACTATTTCTTCCACATTTGATGTGTTTTAGTCTTTTATCAAAGATCAACAGAGCACAGGTGGATAGATTTACTTCTGGATTCTCAGTTCTGTTCCATTGGTTTATGTATCTTTTGTTGTGCTAATACCAGGTTGTTTGGATTATTGTTGCTATGTAGTAGGTTTTAAGATCAGGAAGTGAGAGGCCTCCTAGCTTGTTCTTTTTAAGTAATGCTTTTTTTTTATCCAGGGTTTTCTTTCTTTTCATATAAAGTTGGTGATTAATTATTCCATCTCTTTAAGGAATGA